CCCCAAAACCCCAAAACCCCAAAACCCCAAAACCCCAGAGTTGTGAAACATAGCTGAAACCCTAATTAAAATGGCTAACATCTGTTGAATTTGCACTCTCCAGGCTTGTTTTCTTAGTGAATCTGCCTATTGAGGGTGGTAAGCATAGTAGCTGGGCGATGGCTTGTACATCGTGGGGATGGCCGAGGGGTATCCGTAGGTTGTAGGAGGTTGGGGCATTGGTTCAGCAGGAATTGGGGTAGTTGAGTAAGGACCTGCAGTTGATGGAGAAGGACCTGTGGCTACAGGGCAGTAGTCTGCTGAAAGGGATTCATCTTGTGGGTAGGAGGTAGATGATGAGGCATTGTAAGCTGCAGGTGAATGGGTGTAGACGGGTGCTGATGGTGCGTATTTATGGGAGTAGCCTGCAGCTGTGGGAAATGAAGGAGGATTTGTAGTCATAACTCCTGCTCTTGTTGGAGGATAGTATGTAGGAGCTGTTGAAGGAGGGAGATATGTAGCTGCAGGAGCTGGAGCATACATTGCTGGAGCCGGAGAAGAGGCATACATCGCTGGAGGAGGGGAGTACATCGCTGGAGGAGGGGAGTACATCGCTGGAGGAGGGGAGTACATCGCTGGAGGAGGAGAGTACAATGCTGGAGAAGGAGCATACATGGCTGGGGAGGAGGCATACATTGCTGAAGTAGATCCAAAAGTATGAGGAGCTGGCTTGCTGTCCATATATGTTATTTCTAAGTATAATTCTCCTGCTATCTTTCCTTTGTACATCAATTTAACCCAATCTTTGAAAACACCATGCGCTTGAATAGTAGAAATCGGTATCGAATATGTTCCTATTTTATCATTGCTAAAGACGTCCTCATCGTAAACAGTTATAATGAGGTTCTTTCATCCAAAAGCATCCATCGTGATTCAGTCGTCCCATGTTGGATTCTTGCCTCCAGAGTGATGGGTTTTTGTCTTTTTCTTTTGACCACCTCATTCAAATTTAATAAAAGGATCCATCTTGCTGAACATCTCTGTATCTCTATAAAGTCTTGCTGTCTGAGGCTCTATTATTAATTTGGCCATTTATATTTTTATGATTAATTAACAAAAATCTTCATTTTTTATAATAGGAGATGGGGTTTTGGGGTTTTGGGGTTTTGGGGTTTTGGGG